TGATATCAGGATGTTTAGAACACTTTGAAGCATTGGGCATCACTTAATGAAATGAAAAACCTTGAAAACTACAAAAGCTTAAAGTAATAGATCAGACACTGAAAAATAACTGTCTATTATTCACRAAGGATAAAATAGGATTTTTAGAATATTAACAGGTTCATAAAGGGCAAAAAAATGTGGAAAATGGGGATGTTTAATTTTATTTGAAAACCCCATAATATATTTGAGTCAATTTATGAAAACTCAAGATTTATAGGTTGAAAACCCCATAATATGTTTTTTTAAGGGGTATTCTTCCATGTGTCTGTAATAAGGTAAGCACTTTAGCTTGCTTGTAAAAGGAGATAGAGAAAAAGGATAGTTGTTTGATTGTTTCTGAGCTTCTGAAAATTATATATATATATATAGCATGAGCTGCATGACCATACGGATTGATAGAGTGATAGATGCGGGATCCAATATTGCAATGATATAGTATTCCAGATGTGTGATATCCGATGTGTTATAAAGGTTATATCTATTTATTTATCTATCTACCTACCTACCTATCTATCTATCTATCTATAGTAAGACCATTTGCATCACCATGTCTCTCCTTGCTCCATTGAGTTCAGCTTTGGTCGGGAGAAAACCATGCTCACATTGTTCCAACAGCCTCTTATAACCTTGCATTGGGAATATCTACCCATGAAATAAAGCACATAAGTGCGGAGATATTCCCAATGTAAGGCTGTAAAGATTGTTTGAACAGGCTTTGCCTCGACCAAAGCCAGACTCTGCTCCATTACCCCTACCCCGCATTCTCCTTCACTCTTTCTTCTCGCCCCTCCACACCATTCCTATTAAGCCATATCTCCATTCCCATCCCAACTACCTAAAAATATTCCTAGAATCTCTCTCCTAAGGTATCTCCTCTAAGCCATTAGGAATGTATCATGTTACTCCACTCCCCAATCAATTCCTAAAATCTCTCCCCTCAATCTATATCCACTCTCTCTCATTTAATATATTCATATTAATTAATAAATAGTTAAATACAAGTAATATTTAATCCAACCCATATTCAACGAATATTAAATAATGTTATTATCAAAAATTAATAAATATTGTTATTAATTAACTCATCAAGACTTTTTAAAGTATTTTGGGTAAATACTTTTGTAGTCATGTTAATTAGTAACATTTTATAGAAATTGAAAACTCTTTAACTATTTTCTATAAAATTAAGAATTATATTTAACAATTATCAAAAAGTATAAAATTTTAGTTATTGCTATTATTATAGTTAATAACCAAATGCGGATGGGGGAGTAAAATATTGTAATGTTGGAAAATAAAACTATTAATTAATTTATGTTAGAAAATAAAAGATAAATTAGTGTAACTTTGTTAGTAAACTACCTAATAAAAATAAATATTTAATAACAATTTAAAATAATTTTTAATAAATCTCCATAATTACACAAATTTAATATTTTTTTTGTAAAACTACATTTTTGTAAAATAACATTTTGAAATTAAAAGATAAAAAAATTTTGAAAGTTATTTAAAATGTATTAAACAGTTATGGAAAATTATTGGAATATTTTGGAAATTTTAGAAAAATTTATTGCATTTGATAGATTTTGAAAAACTGTTAAAAAATTATGTAATTTTCATTGTAAATTATTGAAAAATATTGAAGATAAATGAGTATGGGAACGAGAAAATTGTAATTTGAACCAATAATTACACAAATTATTTAAGATAAATTATTGTAATATTGAAAAAAGAAAATTATTGATTAGTTTATATTAAAAAATATTAGATAAAGTAGTGTAATTTTATAAGTAAACCATTTAAAAAAGAAAATAAATTATTTAGTAACAATTTAAAAACAAATTTGAATAAATTTTCAAAATTACACAAATGTAATAATTTAGTATACTTTTAAAAATTTACCATGTTGCTAATAATTAGTATATCATTTTGATCAATTTTGTCATCAAATTGAATATTGGGTTGATGGGGAGTGAGTGTCTTACCTTGAACCTGCCCAACACTAGGGACTGGGCAGGGAAAATTTGAGGATTTCCCATCCTTGATGAGGAGCGGGTGCCATGCCCTAAACTTGCCTAACACCGAGGATGAAACAAAAAAATTTGAGGATTCCCCGTTCCTAACAGGGAGTGGGTGCTTTGCCCTGAACCCGCTTGACACTACGAATGGGGCAGGGATGGGGTAGTGTCTTGACTATGAGGTGGGGATAGGGATGGAGTGCCCTACCCCAAATTTGCCCCATTGCCATTCGTATATACTTGTTAATTATTAGTGAAATTAATAAAAATGTTAGCTTTTGAAATTATTTTCCTTTATTTAAAGTTGATTAAAATTTCATTTAAAAATAATGAAAATAATAACAATTATTAAAATTACTACAACTTATTAATAAATTTAAATTTATTAAAAGAATTTATTCATATTAAATTAACAATACAATAAATGAAAATTACAATTATTAAAATTTTAAATATTAACAATAACTTTGAATATTTTTACTTAATTAACAACAATTTTTATTATTAATTTATCAATTAATTAATAGTAAATAAAATTTTCAATCTTTCAGATTTTTCCGTGCATCGCACGGGTCCCTGTTAGTATAAATAGAAAACCCTTGGTTTATAGTTTTATTTTAATTTTCAATTTTTATGCCTGTATTAAGTAAGGGCTAAGGACCCTGTGCGAGTTGAATATTAAGCCAATAATCAAGTAAAGCTGCATAATTTTGTGGCATCAAATTCAAAGTCCAAACCCCTCTTTTATGTTCAATTTCTAAGATGAAGGGTCCCCAATTATGCATTGCATCCAAATACCAGTAGATTCTTTGCTGGAACCTTTGCTTGTTCTATTACAGCCTGTTTGTTCTTTGGAGCCTTTGTGCTCTTAGAGCCTCCTTGCTGTTTGGAAACCTTGTGGAATGACAGCATTTCATCGAATCATCAGTGGATTCACTTCAAGTTGTTGCAAGAAAATAGAAATGAATTCACATCTTGAAATCCATGTGAAATCCTGCAATGACCTCATTCCAGCATAATATTAAAAATTGCGGGTAGAATGGCAATGGGATTAATGTAATGGTCGAGCATCTGTTGATGTGTGGTGCACAACTATCTTGGGCAATTCAATCATCTTGAAGAACCTCTCTTGTACAAAGCAGTTCAATTTAGGAAACACTTTTGATTACTGCTGCTGAGACTTTCTCTGCTAGAGAATTCATTCTAGAAATGGTTCTACAAGGTCTAAATCATATCTAGCTCAGCGGGATCTCCTGGGTGGTTACTAACTACTTTGGGCTAATATGGCATAATTTCTGCAAACGCTTTTGCTGCTATTTTCCAATCCAACAACATAAACAGCGGTTTGTGATGTTAGGAAAAATGTTTTTGAGCATAAGAACTGAAATCAAAGAAATGTATGTACCACATCTGTACTTCCAAAGTGTTTTTGAGAGAATGAGAGTTACAACAAAGGCCTGTATGAAGTAACTGTGGGCAACAAAAAGCAAAAAGTGGACTGGAAATTAATGATGCATTTACAAAAGCATTTTTAATGCTTATTTTATTCTTAAAACAGCGTGAACAACTAACTAAACTAACTAGATGTTTGGCAACTAATATCTTATTCCATAGTTTTTCCCTTTCAAAGCAGGAAAAACAAAACCGCCCTAAAAATTTTCCTACTTTTGTAAAACAAGAACACAGTAGACCATTGGTAGTCCAGAACACAAACTCAAGTTTTCCTTGGAAAAGGCTGTGCATAACCATTTCTGTCAAACAGAAGATTCTTTGAAAGAGTTTGGTGTGATCTCAGGCCTCGTGCATTTTGATCCAACCTAAGCTACAGAAGATATATCACATATTACAGCAAGTGTCATCACCAGATGTTGGTTCTGGCTACTGAGTTTTGGAAGGAGTGGACCCGATACAGAACTAATCTTCAGCATCTCTTGCACAGGTTGGATGCTGCCCTGCTGTCGAATTGAATCCTCTTTCTCCTGCTTGCTAGGCTGAGATTTTACCATTGCATATGGATCACAAATTGCAGCTTAGGCTCAGTTTGGAAGGAGTACAAATGCAAATTTGTAGAGAGCAAATACATACAAAATAATACAAAATATAAGGTTTTACACCCTACAAATTTGCATTTGTAATCCTTCCAAACTGAGCCTTAGGTGTAAAATTTTCAATAACAAGGGAATTTGTTAAGAAGTTCAAGCATACTCTTGAACTTGAAAATACTCTAGTTTAGCCCCACTGCCCCAGCAATGGAGGATTTGCTAGTCAGCTTGTTTAGTCACTTAAGCAAACTTCTCTAAATGACCTTCATATCTTCCACATGGTAATTTAGTTTGAGGCTCAATGGGAGTTTCCATGTTCTTCACCTCAGCCTCTGTTCATGGAAAAAGATTTCAGCCTAAAATTCCACCCCATTTGCTCAAAATAAAGCCTTTTTATAAGCAACTTTTATATTAAAGATATTGTAAACTTAGATGGTTATAATTGATTAGAATCGGAGTATATCTAATACAAGATTAGAAATCAAAAAGATATATCATATAATATAAGGTTGGGTATAGGCTGACACTGATCTGGACTGCAGGGGCTGCACACATGGCCTATTAGAAAGGGCAGCCCAGTGCATGAGGCTCCCGCCAATGCAGGGCCTGGGGAGGGACAGATGTACGCAACCTTATCCCTGCACAAACAGAGAGTTTGTTTCCAAGATTTCAACCCTGGTCACCCAGGTCGCAATGGAGCAACCAACCATTGCCTATAATGAGGCAGAAATAGGTCACATATGTTTACTGTATACACAGTATATTAGATATTAAATCTTTCAGCCTCATTGAATTTGGTAAGTTAATTCTAAGAAACATAAAGCATCTACTCTTATTCTCTACAAAGTTTTTAACCAAAAATAAAAGAAAAATACATCCATAATTCATCCAAGAGAACTTAACATACAACACACCCTGACAAATATATAGATACACAAAATACATTACATTTGGTGATTCACATGAAAATTGGAGCAACAATAGAGCATCCGTTTAATCATACTAGTGATAACATATAGCTGAAAAAAAAAAAAAAAAAAAAAAACAAGTTAAAAATCAAAAGGGTTGACTATACCGTAGTAGATGATGATCAAAGCTATTAAATGGTGGGGCAAAAGCAGAATATAAACTAATCAGCCTTGTTGTGAGCCACTTCTCCCTCTTCATCCATGAGAACATGGTCGAGAGACACCATTGAACAGAACCTAACGACCTTGTGAGACCCATTTACAGGTCCTTGTAAGTTGGGCACTTTCTTCGAACTGCACTTAATAATTTCTAATTTCACAAGCACAAGCTGGGAAATGCCGGGTAGGGTTGCAGCAGAACTGAACTAATTAGCCTGCCTGTGAGCCACTTCTCCCTCTTCATCCATGAGAACATTGTTGAGGGACACAGTGGAACAGAAGCTAATGACCTTGTGAAACCGATTTACAGGCCCTGGCAAGTCGGGAACTTTCCTCCAACTGCATTTACCAGAACCATTTCTAATTTCACAAACACAAGCTGGGTATGTCTTGTGATGCTGTTCATTGTAGACGTAGATGAGATTTCCCAATCCCACACATTTCAAGCTCGCAAACTTGTCATCCTCCTCACCGTCGAATAAGCAACAGAGAAGGTCCTGAGGCATGATGGCGATCTCGCTGAACTCCATTGTCCCGTCGTCGACCCTCCACAGATTAAAGGATGGCCCACGAGGTGTGTTGCATAGACCGGCCAGAATAAGCTGGTCTCCGCAAGCCAGCAGGAAAGAGAAGAGGATCCCCGGAGGCCGAAGAGTCTGGACTTCGCTCCAGAAGTGAAGGCTAAGATCGAAGGCAGATACGAAACAGGAGAATATGCCGAACACGAAGAATTTGCCCCTGAACAAGGCCGATGACAGCCACTGCGACGAATTGCCGGAACTGAAATTGGCGGGTAACGGCGAACAGAGCTCCCACGAGTCCAACCTCGGATCGTAGATCTCAACAGCCAGTCTATCCTCGATATCGACCAAGCCTCCGATGAACCTAACACCACCGACGACGATGAACCGCGACAAACCCGAGCCATCGTCGAAAACGCCGATGAGGGGATTGCACCTAGAAAACCTAAGCGGCGGCGTCTCGCGCCAGATGCCCCTGAGAATAGGCGCGTAGCTGAACCTAGAGCTGGTGGAGAAGAAGAAACCGCCGGAGCCAAAGAAGAATTCCTCCTGGCAAGGCCTGGGGAAGAGAGTAGTGGGCAAGCAGATCCACTCATTGGCCTCAGGATCGAATGCGAAAGCCTGGTTGTTCTTGATGAAGATGTTGTTCTGCCCGTAAAGGAAGAACCAGGGCTTCTTCGCGGCGGAGACCCGTGAAGAGAAGGAAGGGCGTGTGACGACGGAGCGCCAGAACTTGCAAACAGCGCCAGCCCTGACGATCGACCGGATGGGGAGGTAGGAGAGAATGAGTTCTGTGAGGTCAGAACCCAGGCATTCCCAATTGGATGAAATGGATCGGGGATCAGGTTCAGCCATGGTTGGGGATTAGGGAAAGCAAAGGAATCAGAAGGAATCCATCGAGGGTACGGTACCAACGTTTTCGTTTCAGCAATTCGGTTCAACCCAGTAGAAGATCGGCCAAACGGAATCAAATCAGTTGCCGTTTGGGAGAGGATGGAATGGAAAGAGGGTGGTGGGAGTTGAAGACTTGCAGGGTCGAGGTCGGTACTTGAGCTGGGGCTTGACTGAGAAATTTGTGGAATTCTTGTGGAAGCTATTCGCTGGGTTGAAAGTTTGATTTCATCCCACTTTTCCTTTTACTTGCGATCTCGTTGACGCGCTTGGACGGCCTTCTGCCTTTCTCCGCTCACGGCTCAAACAGAACAGTCAAACTGATATAGTATGGCTAAGAGACATGAATCCTTTTGTGATAGGCACATCTTGTTTCGGTTGCAAGTTGCAACCGTTGGATCTGATTGAATTGGGGCTCTACTCTTAAGTGGGCTCCACCAATGTTTCACAGATTACGACCACGACCATTGATGTGTGTGTGTGTTGAATGAGAAGAATGAATAAGATCAGATGGCCTGAAGCAGCAATTAACCATTGGGTGGGTCCCATTCATTCCTCCTTCCGTTCTCAATCGAGTTGAAATTTTCTGCCCATAAAACATGTTCCAACCCTCTACCAACTTTGGCCTAACACCGCACGTCTATCTCAAGATTGCAACCCATCATAGAATGTTCGAGATGTCCGGTGTAAGATCACGTTGGTAGAGGTTTGAAACGTGTTGTGTTGGCAACGTAAAGAATACTTATCAAAATTGTTCACGTGAAAGGGATCTTATAAATCTAGTAGTATTTGTATATATTATTAAATAGGTTGATCATTTATCCTAATAATATTTTTTTGGTAGAAAGTACTAAATATCATAGAGTAGTTGCTTGTCGCAATTATCAATAAATAAGCATGTGCTTATTTTTAGAATAACAATAACAATAATAATAATAACAACAATAACAATAATAATAATAACAATAAGGTAAAATTGTAGAATAATATTCTTAATTTAGGTAGTTTTAATTTGATCCTTGAATTTTAAAACATATCAATTTAATACAAACTTTTAAGTACCTACCATTAATCAATCGTCAGTTATGTATATTATATATAATATCATGTGTGATTTAAATATGTATAAAATGGTAAGGTTGCCCTCTATAATATTTTTTAGACCATTTTGTCCTTGTGTTTTTTAAACATTAAAAGTTAGGGTTCTTTCCTCTTCAACAAATAGAGCTAGGTTGAACGGGAATAAACAAAAAAAACTAGGAGAAAAGAAACTAGAGGGGAAGAAGGAAGATTGTTTTTATTTCTTTTATTTTTTTATTGTTTATTTTTTAATTTGTTTGGTTGAAAATCGGGGTTTCAAAGTTTGTAGTTGTTGGATTCCAACTTGGTGTAAGTTCTTTGAATCTAGCTCTTCTTGCTAAGGTTTATTCTCGAGTTGAGCTTTAGTTTTAAGAGTATAGGAGTTTGTGGATTTCACTTGTTTAATTGTCTGGAGACTTGGTGTAGTTTGGATTTTGTAATTTAGGGCTTGATCAAAGGTGTTTTGGTTTGTTTTCGCTAGGGGTTGATGATTTTATTGTTTCTGTTTATAAGTGTAGTGTAAATGATCTCAGTTTCAGTGTGGGTTTTGTTAGACAGTGTATGCCCTTAATCCCACTCAGATTGATGTACATAAACATTTATCAGTAAATAAATAAAGTATATTATTGTTTATATTTAAATCGGTGTGTTTTTGTGAACTACTTAAATTTGACACTTATGAGACTCATGTTAGTTTAGCATGTTCCCAGCCATTAGATAGACTCGGGGAGTTTGTTTTGACAAGGCTAACACTGGTGTGCTATCAAATTAGTGGAGCAGCTTGTCTCAACTACTAGGATTAGACCCTAAGCACAGCCAATGGGTGTTTGGAAGAAACATTGAACCTGGACCAATTTCTAAATATGCCCTAGACTTTGTAAATAGATGGGAAAAATTGGAAAGTTGCACTTAACCCCAAACTTGATTGTGAAACTACACTAGTTTTTCGACTAAACTATCTTTGATATGTCAACCAATGAGATCCATCAAGGGTCATATATCTAAGTATGTTAGGGCAGTTTAGGAAATTACCTGAGTGGGTGATCATAGTGATAGGATCAGATCCTTTGTCAACAAAATGAATATCTGGGTTTACACTCTCTCTAATGGAAACCTAAAATTCTGATAATGGGTTTTGACTATATTTGAAATCTGATTTGCAAAAATGTACTTATATGTTATATTACTATTTTGTGAAAATGTTTACAAAATGTTTTAATCCCATAATCTATCCAAACAGAGAGTGTAACACTGTATTTTGCAGTCAGGGAAGAGGTCATGAGTAGTGTTTTAATGATTATGAGCCAAGAGGTTAGGTGTAACAGACCATTATAGGGTTGATTACCTGATGGGATTTATCTTATATAAGCCCATTATATTTGGGTCTTCATAGGGTGGCTGAATCTAAGGATCATTTCTATGTAAATATTGAGCCAAAACTGAGCCCAAGCTAATTGGGTCAGGGCTCATTGTCCTTGAGTAGTAAATTTGGCCTAATCTCTTCTAGAGGTGGGGCCAAACCCTTATGGATTTGTATGAGACCTTTATGGGTCTCATGCCATACAATATTCAGGCCCAAAGTGACCATTCAACACCTTGGGACGTGAACCATTAAAGAAAATGGACCTAAGGCCCATCACTAATATGATTATTTAAGAGGTCAAATGACAACTTAAGTTGTCATGTGATTTGGGTTGAAAATGGGCACGGCTCTAGGTATATAGCACTCATTCTCTTAAGAAGATAATGTTTATCAATTAAAGATAAAGTCCTAAATTTGGATCAGCTCCTAATTTCCGTTGGTTATCTATTGTGTTTTTGCAAGAAAAATATTAGAGAATATCGGGTTCACACACTTGCATCAATCCAAGCAAGTTGAGAACCGATTTTGCTAAAATTTGTTTAATCGACTTCACATACACTCTGCGCCATCTTCACATTTTGGGACTGGTATTAGGTGTGAAGTAACACTCTAGGAGCTGCATATTATGGTCTTCATATCAGGTATAATCAGTTTTAATTTGGGTTTTAAATATGGTCCGATTCAGTGCAAGATCAATCTCGAAAATTTAGATTTCAAAATTACTGAGAATCAGTTCCTAGGTTGGGTTAGGATTTTTTTTTTAAATTTGGCCAACCACTAAACCTTGTTCTACCATGTCTAATCTGATTTCTAACCCTTCTATCAGGTTTTTGATGTTTGGGTCAAAGATCGAATTTTCATGTTTTGGTTTTGTGGGAGAGGTCTTGTTTAATAACTTGGTTTTGTTTTTTAATATGAAGTGATGTTTTTTTCACTAGTTTCAGCTAAGTTTTTGAGGTTTTTGGATTAGTATTTGTCTATGGTTTTGATTAAACTAGTCTTGTAAAAATGGAAGTAGTGTTTTATGTTTTTGTAATTTTTTGAGGCTCAATTTTGATGCTTGTGATTTAGACTGAAGTGTGTGATCGGTAATCTAGGTTCTACATTTGATCAAAGAAGTTCGACTTTTTTCTCATCCTTAGGAAGGGGACAACTTTTTGTATGATGATATTATGTGGTTCTATCAATCGGAGGATTCATAATTCATATAAAGTCTTGTATTTGCTGGCTAGAGATTGTTCTATATGTGGATTGTCGGTGTTTTAGAATGTTTAGAGTCAAAGCTTGCTACTCAACTTTAGTTCTCTTCTTTCTTATCCGCTATTCAGTTCTTTTGAACACTATTCGATTAGACTCAAGAGTTCTACACTTCGATTGGTGGAATTCAAGCTTCAAAATTTCGATACATATCAAACCGTATCGACCAATATGTATCGTATCGGGAGCCTTCCGATACGCCCCTACAAGGGGTGTTTCAGGGTTTAACCTAGTTCAATGGGTAAAAGGGCCTTTAGAATGACCCCTCTGAACCAAGTTCACAAAGGAAAAAAAGAGGAGCAAGGGCTGATACAGCCCGATACACCTTTACCAACATATCGGGTTGTATCGATATTTTGAACCTTATGGTGGAAAATGAGAACCATGAGGTTTGATGTACTGGATGTGAGGGTAACGAACCTACTAGGTTAAGTGAGACCTATGGTATTGTGGCCTTTGTTACCTAACTATTGTTCTCTTTGTATCTTGTGGGCTAAATACGCAATTCATGTCATTTAAGATATACTTCCTAACTATGGTGTAAATTGAAGTTTGTGCTTTTACTTTCATGAAGATGGTGTCATGACTACCATCAGGACCTCCAACTCCCATTGGTGGTGCCTAGTTTATCGCATCTTCAATGCTATGTTCAAATTCTGGCATTCTAGGAGCTCAAGGGAGTCTAGTCCCTTCACAGACAACATTTCCCTCTCTTGTCTCACCAATCACTCAGTAATTGGTTCACCTTTTTTTTATAAAGGGTTGCAACAATTGGTTCGTTAATTCAATTTGTCATAATATTCTTTCCTTTGCTTTGTATTTTCCTATGTCTGGTGATTTTTCTCTCCATCATTCCAGTCATAACACATGTTCATTAAACCAATGGGATTATAGGATACAAATTATCATAAAGCAAACTCAGTCTGGAGTCTAGACATACCCTCTTTACCGTATTCTTGTTAACAGGTGTCTGAATCTGCAACCGCTTTGTTTGAATAAATACAATTGGTAAGGAGATACGTTGGCTCTAGCTTCACTGTTGACTTTAGAATGCACAAAACAATCATCCAGTTCAGATTTGCTAGAAGCAGTCTAGCACAACTGCTTCTTTATTCACATTTGGGAATACCAATGGTGTCGGTAAAAAGTTTTCCAACAATATTTTCTTTTTCTGGCATCATCTTCTGTGTATTAGAACCAATGCAAAAAAAATGGTTAATAAAAAATTAGATGACATCCAAAGGGTATTTGTGTCCTTTTACATGCCACTTAACAGTTGGCTAATGGTAGGTACTAAATTGACATGTTTTAAAGTTTGGGGACCAAAGTGAGACTATGCCCAAAATATAGGATAATAATATGCAATTTTCAATAATAATAATAATAATAATAATAATAATAATAATTTATTTCTATATAGGTCATCAAATTAGGGTAATTTATACTCTCTTTAATATAGGTCAATGGCAAATACCTCCTTGAATTTTTACGTTGGGAAAAAGATCTACTAATTGTTAAGTCAACTGACAGAAGGCGTTAAATTACTAAAATGTCCTCTTCGTAATTCAAGAGGTGTCAAATGA